CAGTGTGAAGCGGCATAATGTATCTCACCAATGGCGTGGTTAGAAAGTGTGACAGTTCTTCATCTTCAGTGAAGAAGTCAAGTGCCTATTCCAGAGGCTACTGCGATGTTCTTTAGGAAGGAAAAAAAAAACCCCTTAGATTTCTCTTGCCAAAATTCTTGAATGATCTCTTCCTGTCTTCTCTGTTTTGATGGGGGGGAGGGTTTGTTTGGTGATGGTTGGTTTGGGGGTGGGTTGGGTTTTTTGGTTGGTTAGTTTGCTTTAGTTTTTATTTTGTTTTATATTTTCTTGGTTTATTATTTTGTTTGGGTTTTTTTTGTTGTTTTGGTGGGGGTTTTTTGTTGGGTTTTTTTGTTTGTTTGTTTAGCTGGCTGGTTTTGGGGTGGTTTTTTGTTTGCTCTTTGTCTGGTTTTTTTTTTTTTTTTTCTTTTCCTGGAAGCTGTAGGGGTTAAAAACAAAATTACAAGTTAAAATTCCTCATATCTGTTTAAGTTCTGTGGTAGGACCTCATGAAGGTTTAGTTATTAAAAATGCTTACAAGGATAATTATTGTTTTAAACAAATGAAATTAACTCTTTAAGGGGGGAAAAAAGTAAGCAACCAAATAAAAAACAGAAGAAAAATTCCAAGATTCCCTTTTGGAAAGTTCAAGAAGGTGACATTTTCAAAAGAAGAAATTACACATTACTTATGTGTTCCTTGTTTTTTATCTTTTTTAAAAATCCACTATCTTTAATTTTAATCCAATTTCAGTTTATGGTAAACAAAAGGCAAAAATACCTATGAGTTTTCCAAAACCTAGCATCTGAACAGCAAAAAGACTAAAGATGGTGCCTCCACTGTGGGAAAAATCCAGAAGAAAAGGGATATTCAATGCAACAGATCTGATAGCACATGTGAGCTGGACAGCTGCAAATGTGTGGATGCACAGTTTCCTTTGGCACATGAAAACAAATGCTGAGGAATTGGAACAATTATTGGGTGGAGGGAAGTTAGCAGGTAAAAGACAAAAAGTTGAATCCAGGTTTACTGGTACTATTTATTCCTCTGTTCCCAGGAAGCTGGTGCTTTTTTGTGTGACACAGCTTGCCCTTCAGCAGATATCATGGCAGAAGTATTTAGTGGCAGTAATAAGAAAAAGTCTGTATACTTGTAAATAACAGCACATGCTGTTATGTTTGAAGCATACAAATATCACTGGTGTGTGTTCTTGTACCTGCATCTCCCCCTTTCCACTAACAATCTTAGCTCCTCAACATATTCCTTGTGATGACTGTCATGGAACAAAGGAATCCAAACATCTACGGACTGGCCAAGGGACTCTCTGTACCACTGAGAAAACTGTTACCCACTGAGAAACCTAAGTATCTGAACTTCCTCAGTTTTCTGAGAAAAGCTCAGGTTTACCTAGAAGCAACATATTGGTTCAGATACATTCCCAGTGCTTTAGGCACTGACTATCCATGGTTCAGTTAAAGTCATTAATTTTTCACAAAACCATCTTTATTCTTCTCCTGAAGAACTAATAGCATAAGACTTGGTTCCCATCCTTGATCCTACAGATATGGCACACAGAAAAAGAAGCACCAAACAAAATCTGCATTCTCTGTTTTATGTGACAGGTGAGGAAGTGGAAAAAGAAATAACAACAAAAGCAATCCAACAAAACAAGGGAGAAAAAGGATAATCATATCATAGAATTATAGAATGGCCTGTATTGGAAGGCACTATATCTAGTCCAACCTCCCCTACTCTGGACAAGGACACTTTTCACCAGACAAGATTGCTCAACACCCCATCCAACCTAGCCTTGAACACTTCCAGGCATGGAACATCCACAGCTTCTCTGGGCAACCTGCTCCAGTGCCTCACCACCCTCTGAGTAAAGAATTTCTAATATCTAATCTAAGGCTACACTCCTTCAGCTTGAAGCTATTGCCCCTTGTCCTATGACTACATGAGCTCATAAAAAGTCCCTCTCCAGCTCTCTATAAGCACCCTTCAGGTACTGGAAGGGTGCTAGAAGGCATCCCCACAAGGACTGAGAATATTCCACAAAGTCACAAAGGTATTTGATTCTTGTTTCAGCATGGACAAGATTTAGGTACATTCACAGAACCAAACTATAGTCACCTCTGTTTTTCTGCAGCAATAGTATTGCACGGGGTTTAGTTGGCTTCCCACAATGGATTTCTCAAAGAACCAAAGTTTGCAAGACTAGGACTATAAAGATGAGGATATGAGTATTCCTTTTGTAGATCTTGGGTGGGTGTGTGTGTGTGTGTGTATAGCTAAACCAATACAAGCCCATTGAACTAATGCAAAACAAGATAACACTGAATGAAAAAAGGAGCAAAGATCTCTGGGCCCTTTCAAACCAAATCATTCCCAGTGTAATTTTATGTATCTGAATACTTCCAGTTGAATGACTAAAGAAAGATTTTGATTGATTTGATTTTTGACTATTATTTAAGAGCACATAATACATCAAGGAAAGATGGCAGGACCAGGGAAAAGCTGGCAGGAAAAAGCTGGCAGTGTAGTAGTGGAAACAGATGGTCTACAAGCAAAAACTCTATTATGATTAAGAGAAAGTATTGTTAATAGGGTTACATTTCTAAAGAAGGAGTTCTGCCAAAACCAGCACAAAACAGAGTAGTTATTAAAAATTTGATTGAAGCCATCAATTTAGATTAGAAATCATCTCTCAGCTGAGACGTGAGCACCAAGAATGTGTTTGCTTCTACCCCATTACAATATGAATTAAAATACTAAACACAAACTACTATTTCAGGTATTTATGAAATCAGAATGAAAACTACAGAGCAAAAGTGATGAAAAGCAAAGGAAGAAAATCATGGAAACATCACAGCTGGATGTCACTTGCTGGTAAGTCTTCAATCAGCGCTCCAAGTGTTAAGAAGCAATGTAAAATCAAAATACACTGGGGTCCCATATATTCCACCTAACTTCACTTAATATGTCCTGCATAAGACACACATACAAATTGCTTCTATAGCTAAAAGAGACAGATACTTATCCCCTGAGGGTGACAATGTCCCTCCTAAAACCAGTTATCTGAGATACAGAAGTGCATAAGCTGAGATTCTTAAGTCCCCTCCAAAAGTCACTGAATGCCTTCATTTAGTCTTCAAAAGTGATTGACCTGATGTCACAAATTTAACTTCAAGGTACTGCTGAACATCCACTAAAGATACTAATTTCTAGGAGTGCATAGGAATTTAGTTATCCATGAAGATCTTGGCCTCTCTTTTTAAAAACTGACTACAGGATGAGAAAATCCAATACTACAAACCCTTTACCCTGATGCATAAACTCTTGATACTAGGCAAAACTCTGCTCACTGCATATTTCTTTTCCTTCAGCAGGGCTGCTCTCATGAAACAGGGTACATACCACAATTATTACAGTTAGAAATTCTTGAACTTGTTAAAAATTAAGAAAATTATTACATTTAGCCATTGTCCATGGTTCAGGATAATCATTACAACTGAAACACCCATGTGTTATCAACATTATTATCATACTAAATATAAATCACAGAAGAGTACCACCTACTACGAAGAAAATTACTCAATCTCAGCCAAAACCAGGACACTCTCATGATTTCTCCAGTCCTTGCACTGAGAGCTGTTCACAAGCCCAGGCATGTGGCAGCCTGGTCTTTACCTGTTCACACCAGGACTAGCTGGGCTTTTCTATAGAGCTGCAGAGGGAACATGAGAAAATTTCTGCTGTGAGGCTCTGGAAGATGATGCCAGCTGAGGTGCTGCTTTGTTTGTGGCCTGGAGGTCTACAACTGGCCTGACAAGTATTTGCAGGCCCAAAACCACTGGTTTGTAGCAATGATGTCCAGTAACTTAGACCAAATTTGACAGGCAGGACAGCTAAACCTGGGAGTTAGGATTGGCACAGTGTGCAGAAACAGGCACTTGTAATAGAGATGCAGTTGTAGAAAGCTGACAGACCTGTTGTCAGCAACATGTTTACATGAAACTGCAATAACTTTTTGGCTTTTCTACAAATTATGCATTGCTGACTGCCTAGTTACTTTCTTGGGCCCCATTCTTTGTACTAGAAAGCCCACCCCTCCCCCCCCCAAAAAAAAACAACAACCAAAGAAGAACCCCAAAAACAAACAAACAAGCAAGCAAAAAAATCCAAAAGCCAACCAACCAACCACTAACAAGCAAAAAAACAACAAAAATAAACACCTACAAACAAAAACGCAAAGCAAATAAATCCTTTACAAATTCTTATTCCCCTTTGAAACCACTGTGGTTTAGTTATGCCTGACTGGCAGAAGGCATAGCAGATCTGGACCAGTATGCAAAGGTGTGCTCAATCTTGCTTCACCCAGCACTGTGATACCAACTTTGGACACATCAAATCACAGAGCAAACACAACAGTTCTGACAATGTCCACTCCTCATAGGGAACAGCAGTGATCCCCCTCCACAGCTACATGGTAACATGACAAACCATCCACAGCTGCTTGGAAAGAGCCAAGGTGTTCCTTCCTGTTACCATCATCCTTTAGCTCATCCCCTTTCCAGTGGCTCATTGGTCACCCAGGTGGTTCTGAATGTCACTCTGTGGCTCTGCAGTGCAGCCTAGCTAAAGGTCTCAAGACTGAAGTGTAAAATGACAGGAACATTTATTGCAGGTTTCCACTACTGCACAAGAGCTCTCACTTTTTGCAGCTTGAAATAAACCCAAGTCACAGCACAGAAGCAGTGCAACCACAGTGGGTTTGAGCAGGAAAAGCCTTCTCAGGGGGGCTAACAAAGGACTGGTGACAGAAAGGAGGTGGTTCTCTTTCACCAGAAAAATTACCGCCACTCACTTTTTCCACTGCTACTCAGGCCCTCCATGACACCGTCAAAATGAACACAAGAACTGACCACTGAATGACATTTTATAAACCCTGAGAAAGGGGCTGGCAGTAGACACTTTCTGCTCTGCCTTGACACAGAAGCCACAGCGATGAAGCTCCACACCGCAGCAATCCTGCTCCTCTTCTGGCTTGCCATCTTCACTGTGCACACAGTCAAAGGTAAGCTTGCAGCTCGAGAAGAACTGCTCCACACTGCACCTGTGGTCTCCTGAGCAGGATTCACTGCTACCAACAGCTGATTTACAAGATAAAACTCAAAAGAAATCCAGATGAAAACTACAAGAAAGGCAGCTTCATTGGGGATTTCATCTGATGTCCTGACAGGTGGTGGGGTTGGTTTTGGCTTCTGCTTTAAAGCAGGGAGATATCCTGTGCCTGAGAGCACTTGAAGGGTTTGTGTGCAATGTTCTCTCTCTCAAAATCAAAAAATCTTGAAGGCACAATGTCTTTTAGTCTCACTGATGCCACAGAGACATGAGCACAGTATGTTAATAACATTTCATGAAAAAATCTTCCTTGAATAAGATGTACAATTTTCCTTTTTCCAGACAGATTACTTTTATATTAATTTTATTGCAGTAATTGTTATTTGTCTTTCCCTAGCTATACAGACTTAATCCCTCTAATACCGCTATTTTAACAAGTTCCTCTAGTTCTACATCACATATCCCATATTGTCATGTTTCTAAATCTTTTGGTACAGACAGGGAAACTACCAATGAGAAGTAAAAGGGGGAATAATAGATTTATACTGTACCTTTTCTCATTTCACTGAATCATACAATTGAATATCTTCTTTCAAATTATAAACACTGAGATGAGCCATGTTTATTAGGCACGCTTTAAAAATAAGTTTGTCTGCAACGCTGGTTAGGTCAGTAAATTTTGGCTACCAGTACCAAGTGAAAACACCCATTACCACACACATTCTTTTCTCAGTTAGATTCACTCAAGCACATAAAAATCATGCCAAACAGTGGCATTCAAGCCATATGCAAACCCACAAATATGCACCCAGAAACACAGAAAAGGTATCCTCCCCAAACCACACCAAAACCCAACTGAGACCTGCTAAGCATTCACAGGACTATGAAGCGACACAGCCTTTATGCTGACCCACTACCTCTCCAGCTACATCCCACTACATTCTCCCATTTTCATTGGTGACACTGCTCTTCATCCTGGCAACAGTGGCTTCATATCAGACTGCCAGTTCCCAATGTCATTGTCCAGGCTGTGTAATTTGCCATAAGTATCAGCAAGTCTGAAAAAGCACACTGAGATGGTCTACAAGAGAGAGAAAAAAGGACTAGAAAGAATGATAAAAAAAACATATACACCTGAGTAAAAGGGTAGTTATATGTGCAGAGCAGTTGGGGTTTGTTCCCAGCCATAGAGAAGCTTTGCTGCTATTCCCTACATCCACTCCCTGAAGATTATGTAGCAGCAGAGGAAATGTTTCCAGGACTAGTAACAATTGCTTGACTGTCTTTGAGCTCTTTAAATGCCACGTTTTAAAAACCAGTGTGAGGCAGTAAGAAATGTGTCACGAATCATTAAAATAACTACCCTGTGTTACTCATGATTAAGCAAGATCAGGAGAGATATTCCTTTCGGCAAACAAAATCTCAGGAATTAGCAGATCTGCCAGTACCTGTGCACTGGCTATCCCAGACCTTCTCCAAAGACTGATGTGCGTTTGTCTCAGCTATTCCAATTATTTCAAACAAAGAACAGCTCACAGAGAGTGAGACTGTGCAGCAAGTTTTTTACATTTAGCAAAGGTGCACCAGGACAGCTCTTAGACTATTCTCAAGCCAGTGGATCTATAAATTCTTTATAGAAAACCCTCAGAGTAGAGCATTGTTCTTTTTGTCCCCTGCATGCTTTCCCAAACTTGGCTTTCATGAACGGGAGAAAACCAGAAAGTGGCAAGTGGACACTAACTGTAATGCCTATGCTTCATCTCACCTAAATGAGCTCCCATTTCTAGTTATCCTCATGTAAGATAACAACTGACCAGAAAATTTAATACCAATATTGTGATCCTCTTTTTCATTCACCACTACATTTCTTTGAATTGTACCAAAACCTTGGAGGAATGCAAGGATTAAGTAGCACCAGACTGCCCATGAAATCAGAGTTATAGCTGGAGAATATAAGTGCTTACTCAGTGCTTACAGATATACCTCTCTTTCTGTTAACAATTTTTGTTAATGCTACTTCTGGATGTCCACAGTGAAAGAAGAAACCTTGCTTTCCTTTTCTTCACTTGGAAAATAGGAGGAATTACAGATCCACATTCAGATAATGGTGGAAATCCACCCAGTAAAGTTCCAGTTCTAAGCACTAATTCCATAAGGGCACTTATTTCCAGGTGATGCAGTCCTAATTACCAATGATGCCAAACAGCATTTTTGTTATGGAAGCAGTGACTCCCTGGGTAAAAAATTACTGTATAATTGTCCAGGACAATGGATGAAGATTTGTATCTTAAATGAAATAGCAGTAACATTTTAGAGATGGTAGGACGCATCACAAAAAATAGCTTAAGCTCTCTGGTATAACTGGTATTGTGGCTGTAGATCACCAGAATCTCATGGTCTAACCACAATGGGAAATCTCCTGGAATTCATAATTTATTAAGTAATTATTGTTAAATATTAAGTACCTTTGTCATTTATCTATTTTTCGTTTCTAGGGAGTGCTAGTAGTCAGTCCATGCAAAAATTTAGTTGTGTAACTCTGTCAAATAAACAACGGAATGTCCGAAATCTTGTGAGCTATGAAAAGAAACAAGTACCAACAGAAGCCATCATGTAAGTATCCCATGAACCCTTCAGACTTCCTTATGTAAGCACTAAACCATCAAATAGGGAAGGGCCATCAGAACACAATTCATGGCCCAATTCACTAAATCTGGCTAGTCCACATCACCCTTCCACTTCTTCCATAGAGAAGTCACCTGGCAGCTGAGGGAGTGAGGGGAGAGGAGCAGGCCTCAGAAAGCTGGGAGATGTGTGCTGCTCATGAATAATGACAGGAAGCTCACTGACCAGCTCACATCTTTGTGCCCAGTGAGTGGGGAAAAATCTCAACAAGGGCACAGCAGTTCAAGGCCCCCTGCTGAGTCAAGGGGACAGATCATGTGAAAGAACATGGGGTAACTCTGAGTCTTGCCAGGAGCTCTGTTTGGTCCTTTGAGCTCAACAAGCATGCATTTTTATCACATCTGAGATCTGCTCCTGGGAGACAAACGTTCATCATGATTGAACATAAAGCCCCAGGATAGCAGGTATGCTCAGTTATCTAAAATCACTATATATGTACATGACCACGTATGCTACACATGTACCTATGTCACGAACAGGGAACTAATACTGCTAACTGGTGTTATTCTAACTAACATTTACAAACTCCAGCATTTGATATTGTTTTACCACATTTTTGCTTATGTTGTGAATATAAACCAAGAACAGAAGACCTGGGTATAGAGACTGGGAGTTCAATGCCCAGCTGGTTTGCTTTTCCTTTTTCCTATAGGTTTATCACTGCAGGAGGCATCAAGATCTGTGTAAGTGCTAAACAGAAATGGGTGCAGACTGCTATGAAGAAAATAGATGAAAGACGTGCTGCCAAACGCTAAAAATCCTGTCCTAGGAAAGCATCTACAAACAACTACCTGAAATCATCCTCAGTGCTGCAAGTAACAAGGGAAAGCTTATTATTTGCTTTTATTTGCTTGCTTTTAATAAATGGCAGTAAACTCTCTGGACAAACACAAACTCAACTCCCACAGAAACTGGAAGAGTGTAGGCCTCCATCCTGATGGACATCAGAGCATTCTGCATTGAGTCCTGGCTTTAAGAAGGTGCTGTATAATTTAGTCATTCATCCTCATGCAAGACAAACCTGAAACAACTGGTTTGCTTTACCCATTGCTTTTCTCTGAATAAAAATAAATCATGTCTGAAACCTGCATTTCACAAACTCATAGGAGCTCCCTGCCCTAGACAACTATGTACATAGAAATGTCTTATCGTCTTAAAACTGATACATGCTACTAACAGAAGGCTTCGAACTTCAATAAATTTACTATAAACCTGAATCAAATGGCAAGTTTGTTTGCAGGATTATTATGCAGATGGATACTGCTGAAAGCAGCACTGCTGACAGCACAAATCTGAGAACTTCTGAGCAGGTTACCTAGTCCTGACACTATTGCTAATTCATGACTCAGATTGCTTTTGAACAATCTGATTCCAAACTTTCTACATCATATTTCATCTGTAAAGCTCACATTTCAGACAATACCTCTTCAAAAGTTCACACACATCAAAAACAGAGTTCATATCATGCTCAGGTGACCCCCACATTATCAGAAGCAGAAATGGAAGAGCTCTCTGCTCAGAGAGAGAAAAGATGGGGTTTGAGGACCTTGAGAGGTAGAGGAGAGGTACACGCAGAGTGGCTTCTGGAGTAAAGTTCCTTTCATATCACCACATGGATGGAGTCTGCACTGCTGCTAACCTATGGGCTTTTCATCCTACAGAACCTCTTAGTGATGCTCGTGGAACTACAGCACTTCCAAACTGACCAATAGAAATAAGATCACATTATAAGCCAGTCTTTTTACAGTTCCTTGCTCTGCAGAGCAGACACACACCTACAAATTCCAGCACTGGATATTGTTTTACCACATTTTTCCTCATGTTCTGCTTGAAAACCAAGAGGAGCAGACCTAGCTTTAGAGACTGGAATTTGATTGCCACCTGGTTTCCTTTCTTTGTATAGGTTTATTATCAGAAAAGACATCAGGATCTGCTTGAGGCCTGATCAGGTATGGATGCAGGCTGCTATAAAGAAAGCAGACAAAAACCAGACATCATCTAGGAATGGTATTCCCCAATTTAATGTTCCCAATGACACATCCATGAAAGAACTGCTCACTCACTCCCCTCCTCTGTCCCCCTGCTGGATTGAGAATTGGAGACATAAAAGCTAAAGATCACAGTTTGAGATAAGAAAACAAATGGTTACAACAACTATACAAAGAGCAGAGTGTACCAGACAGACAAACAGTTCACATGTGATTGCTCACCATGTGTTACCCTGGGCCCCACAACTGCAGACCCCATGCACCAGCCCAGCATACCTCCTTCTGTCTCCTCTTCATGGTGTGAGGTGCTAAAGGAGAACCCTAAGGTCCTGGCCAGCTCACAGGCACCTATCCAGGCCAAAACTTTTGGACCTCACTGAAAGACCTAGACCAAGCTTAGGGCCCAGAACTTTGCTCCCTACACAATCATGCTCTGGGTAAACTGAAATGCCAAACACTCTGCTCCTCCTGTGCTTCATAAACACCTCTGGGAGTTTATTCTAGCCACACTTCAGGTAACAAGGATCTCAGTTAATTTCCCTTCTTTCTTCCTCTGCTGGTACCATTAGAAATGAGGTAAAACCTGAGAGGAAAATCTAGTTTCGGAGGTGTTCAGACTGGAGCCTCTCTGTAGGGAGAAGACAACACGTTTTAGGCCTCTCAGTCCAGATCATCTCAATACCACTATATTCAATAGTAAAACCAAGTTACATTTCACATGGGAATGGGCTCTGTGGTAACAGACAACATGGAGAATAGAAATTTTCAGTTCCCTTGAAGCTGCAAAATAAAAACTAGCAAATTAAGTAAAAGAATGTAAAAGGAGATACACAGGATGCTAAACATGGCTGGAACTTCTGATGATGGGGAACACAGTGGGTTTTATGACAAAATTATGTAACAAGACAACATCTAAAGACCCCTTTAGATGATTCTCTAGGACCATAAATCGACTTCCAATAAGATATGGAGACAGTTAAATTAATTCTAGGAAAAGTGATGTTTATGTATTAGCTAGGACGTACATTGTAATGAATATGTATGACCATGATAGAATAAATACCCTGTTGTAAACTTTCATGACATATGTTTGATCAGAGGAAAAATCCTCCAACTGTGCAGTGCTATAATAAAGAACCTGTTTTCTAATACTTCCAATTGTGTTAAAAGGTTTGTTCTCTGCCTGATTTCAGTATCAAGGATCACCAGCTGCTTAATAACAGGAGAAGCAGACAAGGGCTGGAACAGCAAAGGTGTCAATAGCATTTCTACAGCAATCTTCACAACCCTTGTCCCTTTCACAGTGGAGAAGGTGGGATGCCATATGCAAGGCAGAAATTCAGTCTGTGCTTGTCTTGTGTCATGCACTTGCCCAGCTCAGATCAGGAAAAAATTTGCTCTCTCTTCTGAACCAGAAAATGAGCATGGAGGAAATGCCAAGCTAACAATGTAAATAGGATGTTTTCTACTGAGCACAAAGACAGGTCTTATTTGAAATACACATTTCAAATGTTTTTCAGAGGCACATAAACCTCTCCTCCATGTTTATTTATGTAATCAATGCTAAGATAACTTGTTTTTCTCTCATTTTCAATCAAGTCAGACCCTGTTTTTCTTCATTTCCTTCTATTATCAATTGATTAGCAGACTACAGGAAATCAAAGGAGATTGCAAGAAACAAATGGGTTTGCTATGAGCTGCTGTGAATTCTGGTACAAGAGACCCCCAGGACTGTTGCTTGTGTCACCTGGGTGTCTTTCAGCCAAAGCATTTCCAAGCAAGGGAAGCATTTGTAAAGCTTACCAAGTAAATGGACAGGCCTCCTCCTTCCACACAAATGCACAGAGAATTTGGGGAATTTGGGAGCTCTGAGGCTGTTCTCTAGCAACACTCCTCAATAATGCAGCATGGAGAGACAAATGCTAAGGGCCTGCTGCTGAGCTGGGCACTGCTGGCAGAGCTGGCCTCAAGTTGGTCTAACAGATTTGCACAATGACTCAAAGCTGCACCATCCCAAAACTGTAATTACAGCTGGACACATCTCTCCTAACAAAGACAACTGTGATCCCCTCAGACAAAAATTAAATATAGAAGTGTCACAGTTCCCAAGAGCTTTGCTTGATTCTGGGCCCAGTTCATTCCTCCTGGCCAAAGAGACCCTCAGGAGACTCCAACAGGCTCCCACAAAACACCTACAAGCTGAGAGTGTCCCAAGACTTCAACAGGACACCAGACAAACATTAGGATGTCAGAGGGATATGCTCTGTCAAGGAGAGGACATATGCTTACAGCTGTGATTTTAATCTGGTTTCTCAGAGGTTCTGCTGCCCTGACACAGGGCCAGCAGGGAAAACAGTGACACCTCAAGTCCCCATCTATCTGGATCTGCAGGCCATGCATGAGCCGTGTGGCCTGGCCCCAGGACAGACCATGTGTTCTGTCATCCTCTAGGAGCAGTGCACTTTGAAGCCCCACAGATTCAGATTGGGAAGGCTTTGGTGTTCCTGGTCTAAAGGGAAGCAGATATTGCACTGCTCCAAAGCATTTGTATGCTGGGAACACAAGTCTTTTTTAGGAGCCCAAAGAGCCCTTGCTCAAGGTGGCAGGATCATGATTTACCAAATCCACTCTCTATACCAAGCTCCTTTTCTAGCTTTATAGTTTGTTCTTTCTCCAAGCACCATGAAATAGACTCAATTTATTTATTCATTGCTTCAGTCAGAGATTTAGTTGATTCCTTTAACACAGGAATCCATGACCAACAAAATCCCATGACTCTAGAGAAAACCTCATTCCTGCCTTTTTTTTTTGTGACTGCATATGGGAGGGTAATTATGGCCTCTGTCCTTTCCAGAACCATTATCTGTTGCCATTTTCACAAAATAAAGCCTAAATATTTAATTTTCTTCTGACCCAGCTGAAGCTTGGATGGAGATGCATTGTGTCCCCTTTACGCTTGAGCAACACACAAATGCATAGTGTTTAATATGAAAGCATTCTTGTCACCAGCTAATAATCAACAAAAAACCAATTTGCACGGTGATTTCATACCCTTTAAAAATCATGTCCCAATATTCATGGGAAACTGGTCAGGGATATGGCAAAACTTTGGCAAGGTGTGTCCAAGTCTTTTCCAAATGAAGGCATACAAAGATTAATTTTCTTCATCTAATGGAATGCTCCAAAATCACTTGGATTAAATATTTGTCTATCTGCTTACGGACGTTCTTCTTGGCTCTCTAGAGAACAAGGTCCTGTCTCATGGTGGGTGGCACTCCTCCTTTTGGTTTGATACATATGGGCTGTGCTGAGATCAACAGTCCCACATCTGTCCCTGATCCTGCCAGATTGGCAGATGCTTCTTAAAATATTTCCTGATGTCAAGGGCTGCCTGATCTATGAATGCACCAACAGCAAGTGTGTCATTAAACATTTGTGATAACCATTGCCCTGCTGAGCAAGCAGACAGAGTTATAGCTGGCCAAACCTGCTGACACAATATTACTGCAAAATTCTACTGTAGCAAACAATTTAACCTGATTTTGCACAGCCTCGGCCAAGGGTGTCCCCTTATCTATGCTGGGTTTATTTTCTATCCCTTCAAACACTAAAAGAGGGACATAAAAATCCTTTTAATGTGACAAAAAGAAGGGACTTCAGACTCTGTTCTGTGTGTACTGAGGACTCTGTCACTCACTGTGTGGTGCAAAGGGCTCCACATCCCCTGCATAGTCCAAGGGACGGCAGCCTCCCTCAGTGTGGGTCTCCAAAGCCCACCTACATCATGGGAGAGACTCAAGCTCTCCCCAGCCCACAGTTTTTGGAGGCTCTACATCTCCTCTATGTGCAGCTACACTGATCAGCTTGAGCACCCAGTACAGAGGAAATGGACACCCACTGGTGTGTCCATGCTGGAGTACGTGAAAAATGTGCCTCATACAACATCAAAGATCACCAAAGAGCCACAAAAAAAGGCTGTGGGACTGCAGCCCACAGAACTCTTCAAAACACAGACTTTACTGGACATAACCCAGATACACAGAACAACAGCTCAGGAGGCCACAGAAAATGAGGATCACAAAGAAGAGGAAAAACTTGCCACAGGGCAATTTTTCCAAGACTCCCAAAGAATGGTGGAAAACTGAAGCAGCAATAGGCTTCCCAGAAACACCTCAGAAGAATCTAACATCTGCAGAAGGTTCTGTGTGAAGGACTTTTCTCTGAGCTTTCAGAGTTGGCTCATGCTCCACACATCTGGTGACCTTCATCTGAAAACTGTAGATGACATATGTACACACTGTACAAGTGAACAAAACTGCAAGAGCATCTCTTAATGCATGAAAAGTGTTCTTTACCATCAATGACACCGTTGCCATCCTGCATGTCATAGCTGACAAGTACAAAAAGTTGGAATATCTTATTTCAAGGAGCGATTTCAGCCAGCGTCCAGCAAAACATGAGGCTGGTACACTGCTTGGGGACAAACTTAGATTTCTCAGTCATGCTCTTGAGGTCAGTTTAGTTACTCCCCTGTGTGGCATGTCCTTTAAGGGCTGGGGTTGAAACTTTGACTTCATTTCATTGCACCTTCCTTAGTGGTGCAAGTGGGTTTAGCAGACATTCAGTTACAGCTTTTTCTACTTGCCATTGGTGTTCCCTGGGTTTCCCTGGTTTGCAAGATGAAAGAACAAAACCAAAATGAACAAAGAGTGTGTGTGTTTACCAAAACTAAACCGCTTAGCACATGCTCTACCTGCAAGACCTACAGGATCTTCCTGAGCTTACCATCCCTTACAGCCTAGGACTCACATATGTGAGTGCAGTTCAAGTTTCAATCTTAATTTACCTGAGAAATCTTGGGAAATGGACTTTCACATGCTACATTACCCATGCAAAGGAATTTCCAAGAATTTGGAAAACTTAACTTAGGGGAGGCCTGGAGGTAGGAGCAGGGGAAATCTCATAGTTGCTGATGTTGTGTAACCACAGCCAGCAAGTCCCTGATTCCAGGCAATGATTACTTAGCAACAACTGAAATATCTATGTGTTATTAACATTATTCTCACGCTAAATCCAAAACACAAAATGGTATCACCTACTAAGAAAACTACCTCTATTTCAGCCAAGATAATGACACTCATGATTTCTCCAGACCTTGCACTGGCAGTTGTTCCACACCACTGTTACAAGCACAGGCATCAGGTAGCCTGGTGTTTACCTATTCACACCAAGTCCAGATGAGTTTTTCTGTAGAGATGCAGAGTGCACAACAGATTTTTGCTCTGAGGCTCTGGAAGATGATGCCAGCTCAGGTACTGCTTCATGTGTGGTCTAGAGGTCTGCAACCGACCTGACAAATATTGGCAGGCCCAAAACCATTGGCTTGTAGCAGTGCTGAACAGAAATTCAGACCACATTCAATAAAAAGGACACCTAAATGTGGGTGATAGGGATGGCACAGTCTGCAAAAAAAGGCACTTTTGAGAGAGGTACAATTGTAACAAGCTGACAGACCTGTTATCAGCATTGTGTTTACATAAAAGTGCAATTAATTAATTTTTTTCTTGTCTTTCCTATGAATTGTGCCTCTCTGATTGCCTAGTTACTTTCCTGGGCCCCTTTCTTTGTACTAGAAAGTCCACACCAGAAAAAAATCCAAACCAAAGCAAAGAAGCCTTGACATAACCCTTTACAAATTCTTATTCCCCTTTGAAACCACTGTGGTTTAGTTATGCCTGACTGGCAGAAGGCATAGCAGATCTGGACCAGTATGCAAAGGTGTGCTCAATCTTGCTTCACCCAGCACTGTGATACCAACTTTGGACACATCAAATCACAGAGCAAACACAACAGTTCTGACAATGTCCACTCCTCATAGGGAACAGCAGTGATCCCCCTCCACAGCTACATGGTAACATGACAAACCATCCACAGCTGCTTGGAAAGAGCCAAGGTGTTCCTTCCTGTTACCATCATCCTTTAGCTCACAGTTCCCCTTTCCAGTGGCTCATTGGTCACCCAGGTGGTTCTGAATGTCACTCTGTGGCTCTGCAGTGCAGCCTAGCTAAAGGTCTCAAGACTGAAGTGTAAAATGACAGGAACATTTATTGCAGGTTTCCACTACTGCACAAGAGCTCTCACTTTTTGCAGCTTGAAATAAACCCAAGTCACAGCACAGAAGCAGTGCAACCACAGTGGGTTTGAGCAGGAAAAGCCTTCTCAGGGGGGCTAACAAAGGACTGGTGACAGAAAGGAGGTGGTTCTCTTTCACCAGAAAAATTACCGCCACTCACTTTTTCCACTGCTACTCAGGCCCTCCATGACACCGTCAAAATGAACACAAGAACTGACCACTGAATGACATTTTATAAACCCTGAGAAAGGGGCTGGCAGTAGACACTTTCTGCTCTGCCTTGACACAGAAGCCACAGCGATGAAGCTCCACACCGCAGCAATCCTGCTCCTCTTCTGGCTTGCCATCTTCACTGTGCACACAGTCAAAGGTAAGCTTGCAGCTCGAGAAGAACTGCTCCACACTGCACCTGTGGTCTCCTGAGCAGGATTCACTGCTACCAACAGCTGATTTACAAGATAAAAGAAATCCAGATGAAAACTACAAGAAAGGCAGCTTCATTGGGGATTTCATCTGATGTCCTGACAGGTGGTGGGGTTGGTTTTGGCTTCTGCTTTAAAGCAGGGAGATATCCTGTGCCTGAGAGCACTTGAAGGGTTTGTGTGCAATGTTCTCTCTCTCAAAATCAAAAAATCTTGAAGGCACAATGTCTTTTAGTCTCACTGATGCCACAGAGACATGAGCACAGTATATTAATAACATTTCATGAAAAATCTTTCTTGAATAAGACATGATTTTTTTCTTTTTCCAGATAGATAACTTTAATATGAATTTTATTGTATTAATTGTTTCAAGTTTCAAATATTCAACTATTTCAAGATAGCAAGACTGTGCTGCAGGTTTTACATTTCAAAAAGGTGCACCAGAACAACTCTTGGACTTTTCTCAAGCCAGTAGCTCTCCAAGTTCTTTATAAACAAACCACAGAGTAGAGCAGTGTTTTTTTTGTTCCCTGCATGCTTTCCCAAACCTGTGAACAGGAGAAATCCAGAAACTGGCAAGTGGAGACTGACACTAATGTATCCTCCATTGCATTTGAATTAATTCCCATTTTTAGTTATCATCACATAAGAACCACTGCCTAGAAAAGTTTTCATCGATACCATTATAATCTTTATTAATGAACAGTATATTTCTCTCTTTGCCTCTCTTGGAGGAATGCAAGGAATAAGAAGCACCCCACTGCCTATGAAATCAGAGTTAGAGCCGGAGGATATAAGCACTTACTCTTCTGGCAGATATAGTTCTCTTTCTATTAACAATTTTTGTTAATATTGCTTTTGAATCTGAGAGAAGTATGCTTGCTTTCCTTTTCTTCACTTGGAAAACAGGAGGAATTACTGATCCACATTCAACAGATATGTGGAAATCCAGCCAATACAGTGCAAGTTCTAAATGCTACCTCCACATGGGTACTTACTTGCAAATGATGCAGACCTAATTATGAATGATGTCAAACACTTCTACTGCTATGGAAGCAGTGACTCATTAGGGATAGACAGCACCGTGGAGGTGGGAGAATGGCTCACAAAGGGCTTAAACTCTCTGGTATAACTGGTATTGTGGCTGTAGATCACCAGAATCTCATGGTCTAACCACTGCTAGGAATCTTCTGGAAATCCTAGTTTATTAAGCAATTATGACTAAATATCATTAACATTTTTATTCCCTTTCCATTTATCTATTTTTTCCTTCTAGGAAGTGCTAGTAGTCAGTCCATGCAAAAATTCAGTTGCGCAGTTTTATCTCCAAAGCGGTTGAACATCCGAAATCTTGTGAGCTATGAAAAGAAACAAGTACCAACAGAAGCCATCATGTAAGTATCCCATGAACCCTTCAGACTTCCTTATGTAAGCACTAAACCATCAAATAGGGAAGGGCCATCAGAAGAACACAATTCACGGCCCAATTCACTAAATCTGGCTAGTCCACATCACCCTTCCACTTCTTCCATAGAGAAGTCACCTGGCAGCTGAGGGAGTGAGGGGAGAGGAGCAGGCCTCAGAAAGCTGGGAGATGTGTGCTGCTCATGAATAATGACAGGAAGCTCACTGACCAGCTCACATCTTTGTGCCCAGTGAGTGGGGAAAAATCTCAACAAGGGCACAGCAGTTCAAGGCCCCCTGCTGAGTCAAGGGGACAGATCATGTGAAAGAACATGGGGTAACTCTGAGTCTTGCCAGGAGCTCTGTTTGGTCCTTTGAGCTTACAAGCATGCATTTTTATCTGGGATCTGCTCCTGGGAGACAAACGTTCATCATGATTGAACATAAAGCCCCAGGATAGCAGGTATGCTTGATTTTTTTAATATCAGTTTAAATGTACATGACCATGTATGTCACCTACATCATAAATAGGGAAATAATGTTTCTAACTGTGTTATTCAACTAACACCTACAAACTCCAGAATTTGATATTGTTTTGCCACATTTTTTGTCATGTTCTGCATCAAAACCAAGAATAGAAGACCTGGGTATAGAGACTGGAATTTAATGCCCAGCTGGTTTGCTTTTCCTTTTTCCTATAGGTTTATCACTGCAGGAGGCATCAAGATCTGTGTAAGAGCTAATCAGAAATGGGTGGAGACTGCTACAAAGATAATAGATGGAAGACGTGCAGCCAAACGCAAATAATCCAAGCATCCAAGGCCAGACAGCTGACATCATCAACAGTGCTGCAGATAACAGCTCAGTATCTGCTTTTATTTCCTATTTATTAAGTGCCAATAAAATCTTTGAACAAATGCACTCACCAGAATCTATTCTTCACTGGTTGAATGTCTGCAGACTTCTTCATTTTATGGTTGAACTCTATTAATCTGTTTATTTTCTGAAATGCTTGGTATCATTTACAACTGAGTGTAGATAACATCTCATCCTTGCTGTCCTGACCAGGACGGCATTTAATGGTGAACGACTGCCAGTTTCACAAAGTGTAGTGAAGATGACCACCCTCAGAGCTGGAAGAGTGCAGACCTCCATGCTCATGGAGATCAGAGTATTCCACATCGAGTGCTGGTTTTCAGAAGGTGCTGTTTAAATTAGTCATTTGCACCTATGTAACCTAGACAGAAACTGATTTCATGCTTCAGGCTTTCACCTGATCAGTGCCATACTAAGAAGATGATCTTTGAATATTCTATTTTTACACACAGTATTGCACTATTAGCTCAGTTCACTAAAGTGTGCTCTCCCCAAGGATGATGTGGAGTAATTCAGTGTAACTCAGTGAACATGACCCTGTTCAGCCTTGTCCTGGGGAAGCCTTATCCTACCAATGACATCTGTGAAGTTACTTCAGTTTTGCCCTCCTGTGAAACAAACCTGAAATAATTGGTTTGCTTTTCCCATTGCTTTTCTCTGAATAAGAATAAACCATGTCTGAAACCTGCATTTCACAAACTCATAGGAGCTCCCTGCCCTAGACAACTATGTACATAGAAATGTTTTATCGTCTTAAAACTGATACATGCTGCTAACAGAAGGTTTTGAACTTCAATAAATTTACTATAAACCTGAATCAAATGGCAAGTTTGTTTGCAGGATTATTATGCAGATGAATATTGCTGGAACAGGTTGCAAGATGATAGCAAAATTTGAGAGCTTATGGGAAAATTAACTACAGCTGACATTATTGCTAATTCATGACTCAGACAGCATTGGAATGATCTGAGTCCAAACTTTCTACATCATATTTCAGCTCGCATTTCAGACAATACCTCTTCAAAAGTTCACACACTTCAAAAACTTTAAAACAGAGTTCATATCATGCTCAGGTGACCCCCACATTATCAGAAGCAGAAATGGAAGAGCTCTCTGCTCAGAGAGAGAAAAGATGGGGTTTGAGGACCTTGAGAGGTAGAGGAGAGGTACACGCAGAGTGGCTTCTGGAGTAAAGTTCCTTTCATATCACCACATGGATGGAGTCTGCACTGCTGCTAACCTATGGGCTTTTCATCCTACAGAACCTCTTAGTGATGCTCGTGGAACTACAGCACTTCCAAACTGACCAATAGAAATAAGATCACACTACTCTAAAAGCCAGTCTTTACAGTTCCCTGCTTTGGTCAAGCCTTTAGACAGAATTTGTCTCTCATGGCTCACATTTTGTCAGAGTTCAGTCCTGTGTGGGGAAACAGATTTAGTTTTCACTATGCAGGACAGTTTTTTAAATAGTGCTATTACCAAGGCAGGGAAAAGAAGAATGACTGTACATGTTCCACTACAGAACAGACCAAGGCAGGATACTGAATCTCTGTTAGAGGGAGTTATGCTTCCTTACTGAAGTTCTAGATATCAATAAGCCTAGAGAAAAACAGTTTTTGCTACAAACTTTGTAAGGAGAGCTTTACAGGTAGATAAAAATGTTGACAGTTAGATGTTACTGGAGTATGGCATTATATCAACTGTATTCATTAACTTTGAATTGCTGATCTCAAGGCCCCAGACCCTCATATTATATACAACAGAATATTTCTGTTCCCCTCAGCATCACCAGAGTATTTGTACACTACAAAACCAGGTCCCCTATAAAAGCATTTTTATGGTAAATGTTCACAGATAAATAACATCAACTCTGACAGAACAAATTCATCCAGGACCTGAACTTTTTGCAGGCAGAATTTTAATGCCAATTCTCATACTTAATTGTATCATACTCTGGACTGAATCTTGCTAAAGTGAATATAATTTTTCTTTAAATTAGGACTCTCACAACCTGAGGATATATTAACCATCACATGGCAATTAATACTTTATATCTGTTCATCCTCATCAAAATTCATAGAATGATTAATAATTTTTAAAAGTGAATCATCCTACTTAATGATTACTCCTTGTTTGTTATACCTTGCAAGATCTGTAGAGATCTTTGTACATTCCTTGACAGTTAATTACTGTTGGTGATCAGGGCTCTCAGTATCTCTTCCTACTCCATCATTAAACTCCAGGAACTTCTGTCTTTCCCTGCTCCTTAACTCAGCCCTTGCTGTGGTCCCAGTTGTGTGCTATTTTTGTCAGCTCCAGCTGTGGATAATGTGGAAGCTTATGTGTAATAGCACTGTTTCTCCCCAGCACTTTTCCCTAAGGCTCTCAAAGAAAGAATGGAAAACACGATTAAACCTCCTTTTCATACACACGAGCACAAAAGTGCAAAATGAAGAGCCAGAGTGCTGCTCTTGTGTTGGAGGCAAGTAAGAGCCATAGTCTTGGTCTTTCCAACATCCTTAGGAAACACCTACAAAACAGCAAAACCCACTTAAAAACCCACAGAAATTAGGCTTAGGGTCTAAAGTACACTTGAAGATTTGGGGCTGTGGTTGGACTGACGTCCTCCCAGCTCCTGGCTACCCAACATTTCTTGCCCAAGTGAGGTAGAGAGCCTGAGACTCATGGTCACAATTTCCCTTCTTGCTCAACCTTTGCTAGATTGCAGCCAATTCAAAGCAGTAATTCTTCCTAGGCAGTGACTTTGCACAGCTGCTGCTGTCTTCTTTTAACTACTTATTTATAATTAAGGAACTGGAAAGTTAAAGGTTTACAAGGACCATCAGCTTTCCTGGAAACTGCTAACACATCTTTCAATCCCTAGTGCCCAGTTAGGGATATTCCTTGATTTTTGGAGATTTTTTGGTTTTGTTTTGGCTTGTTTTTTTAATATAATTCCTGACTACCTTTTGTGCTTTGCTTTATGCTGGAGATTTTCATCAGCAGATCACGTGTTTTAACAGGTTGCTCAAAACCCTTCATGGGAAGAAGAAAATGGAGGAGGACTGGGTACCTCTGTACATCAGTGATGTTTTCTGCCAAATACTGGTGCATGATATAACAAGTAAGACATGTTAATTTAGCAAACACAAATACTTTCTTCTCTTTCCTGTGGAAAAATGCAGTACATGCATTTTGAAAGCTAAACCTTATATTCTAAATGTCAAATTAATTGATTACTTAATCCAAACTATTGGGATTTGGTAGAGAAGATACTATTTAAAATTTTATGGCAAGTGAGTACAGGAAAAGGTGAGGGATAAGAGGGTAAAAATAGAAAAGGGGTGACAAGGAGTCATTTCAGCAGGAAGTGGTATGTGGTGACTGCCACTAAGTCCTTAATAAATCATATTCTTTTAGCAGCTCCCTTGAGTTTTCATCTCTGCACTGCATGTGCACAAAGTCTCTATTCACCTGAAGAAAAGAAGCTTGGAAGAAGTGCCATAAACCTGGAAGCCCTCAACTATACTCTTCCACTAGCGAAGATGTGGGTATGAACAAACTGAAAACATCTGAAATTACTCATCTGCAGATACTTGCCAGTGTCACTCAGAACACAAATTTTAGCTGGGCACGATTTGTACAGCACTATAAAGCTCTCTGTGGAGTGTTCTGTGATCAGCACCATCACTGTTGCACGTCCCAGGGAACAGGAAATTCTAAGGGCCTTCCTGCAATAACACCAGGCCTGTTCCAAGGGCACCTCTGACTGCCCTTACTGCTGTGGGTGTCCATGGTCACAATCGGCTTTTCTCACGCTGGGAGCTATTTCTGTCTGTCTTTTACCACCTCTTGCAATCTATCCACCCCACAGCTTTTAGTTTGGTTAGAGGATCTGAGACGAGGGAAGAGACCTACCAAGACAACTCCTACAGACGCTGCATAGAAGATTTAAAAAGTATTCTACTGTTATGTCATGGTTTACCTTGCCTCCCATTTACTGTTGTGTGCAACAGCAAACAATTATTCCAAATCCAATATGGGATTGCAATCTAAATTAACCTTTTAGCTTTGTGAGGCTCATTTGAGATATTTGCAGAGCATGTTCTGGTTTAAGGCCTGCATATAGCCTCTACTTTTACGAACAGCACAAAAAACCAGGGTGCACAGCAGGCCCCTTCCTGGAAGTTTTGTTTTTCCTTCCCATCTGTGTGGCTTAGAACAAAAGAGTCTAGACCAAATTATTACATGTTTGTTATGCAAAGGAAGTGGCTGCTCTTGTCACCAAGGCACAAGGAAAGGACTCCAAAAATACAAGCTCATGTCCTGCTCTCCTAATGATTTATTGTTCATCTTTGTGCAGTGTCTATAATTTGATTTGGGCTGAGTATTATGTATCATATTGAATTTTTCTTGCATTAAGTTCTAAAAACTCAAGGAAAAAAACACCTCAAAAGCTATTTAGAAAAAGTAACTGAAACAAATCTGGTAAGTCTTTTGTTTTCTCTGGGTTTCTGAGCCTTTTTGTTCCACTCTGGGCCTACAGTTTTCTCAAGAATCATTATTGTTATAAGACTAAGACTTGGAGTCTCTCTGAGAGATTGATGTTGAAAAGAGAGATGGTAAGCATACACAAGAACATGAATACACACAAGTGGACACATGTTCAAGACAAGATTTTTATAGCCTCCTCAGTGGGGAAAAGATCTACTTGTTTCCTACTCTCTGCTGTCTAACATCCACTGTGTTGTCACCTCTAACATGCCCACTTCTCTCAAGCCATTAGCAAGTCACTCTGGTATTTCCCAGTGGAACAACATTGACTCACACAAAACCCCTCAAGTGATAATTCTTCAGAGCCTCTCCATGCAACATGAGATGGAAATGACTGTTAGGGCTCCAGTCAACCTCCAGGGTCCAAACCTGCCTATAAATAAACACTAAACAGGAATTGCCATGCTATGGG